ATTCATACCTATATATCATCAACTAGTAGCAAGATCAGATGCAATCAATATTTCTCCTTTAAATCTCTTCCTCGTGCTCAGCTTGCTCAGCCTTGAATGTTGGGTATTTATATTCTATATTCAAGTACAAGTTACTAATTCATAATTAATTTAAATAAGGAGTCTTGTCAAAATCTTGATAATTAAGACCAACGTTAATTACTGCATTTACATTACACATCATAATATGAATCTTACACTATACAAGTAATTAAATAATTTACAAAGGTATATAATATGCAATATTTGTTAGTAGTACTAGTAAAATTGTTTTATGATATTCACTTATTAATACATGAAATAAGCTGTGCCTATATATAGATTATTGTTACGGTCTCACTCTCTTAAAAGTAATAAATTCTAAATCCTACTGAAGATGCCTAGCTCCAACTACGTTTCAGTGCCTATCGGAAACTATTTTACCTATCTTAGTATCACACAAAATGTATCAGTAGGTTTATGATTTGCTAAGTAGAAATTTATTACTGAATTAATTTAGTAACGTTATTGTTACAGTGTAATATACTGTATTACAGTAGAAATATCTATGTTAGGATAATTCTATTAGACTATCCTTATTTAGTTAACTTATAATTTGGATATACTGTGTTTTAATATAGCACTGACTTTTTATGACAGTGACACTTATACTCATACTGAAATTAATAGCTATAATAAGGAATGCAAATCATCTACTTATAGTTCGAATCATTGTGATTGTAATTTACTTATGGTAGACTGTAAATTATCATGTAAATGTTCCGTGATAGGACATATCGTAATCTGACTATTCTGTATTAGTCATTACATGTCTATTTTCGTAAATACTGTTGTCTGCATTAAGGGAGCAGTAGCTAAAATTAATATCTAATTCAGTAAATGATTCTAATGTTAATTGTATGACTCATGAATTATTGAGGAATAGCATATAAATGCAGTATATCGTGAAATAAAGTGAATTGTCAAACTTAGTGTTTAACGTAAAATACGAGGCGTTTAAGTCTTTGTGTAGTCTGCTAGTAGAGCAAAAGTGTTTGTGATAGTGCAGATATCGTTCCTTGATACGTGGTTCAAGGAATTGACTTATTGATCGTACATTACGTTATCTTGTTGTAAAGCTGTTTTGTGACAGTTATAAATTCTTTTTTAAAAATAGTATAAAACATAGCTTTATATTCAGTTAAAAGTTACGCCTTGTGAGAAAAACTATAACTAGTCGCCCAATCAAACCGTAGCACCTCATGTAAAATGTAGCAAACAAAATTTCGTTAAACTATAGTTTATTTCTCTAAAATACTTATTACTCATCAAGATTTCTAAGTAATTTAACGTCAATAATTTATTATGAACATATAAATCAAAGACAGAAAAATCAGCTTTTCTATCTAGACCAGTAATGGTTATCAATATACATTTAGTTATTGACAAGCTGCTTTAAATACTTTCATAATTACAATAGCCATAACGGTAACGGCGTAACCAAAACACATACCAAACTGCTACTATTATTTTTCAAATTCTATTAAGAAGTACTATCAGCTAATAATAATTCATTATGAAAGCACGCAGAATACCATACAACTTGTAGTATTGTAGAGTTGTAACAGTCATTTTTATATCAATGAATGAATTCATAAGTTTTGAAGTATATCACGAATTTATTATTAGTTTTGGTTTGACGATTTTTTATTTTGAAGTCGAGAATAGCGACCGAGACTCAATAAGATGTAACAATATTGGGAGTATCAAAGAATTTAAATCATATCATCTTAGAGCTTAAAGGTATTTAAGTAGATATAATAAACCTTATAGTGTAGGAAATTGATGCGCTCAGAAAGTCTCCATGCAAATAATAAATTTTTATTACTAAACTTAGTAGAAAATATTATTAATACGTTTTAGTAATGTGAATAATGTGAATAACAACAATATATTTTCTGCTATGATCTCGAACATTGTTTTAGACTAATGACTTAGGAAAAATGAAACTAAGTGTAAGATACTTGCTTGTATGCTTACTAGTATTATGAAATTTAAAACTTGAAATAGAGTCCATTGAAGAAACTCATTTACGAGCAGATGATTTCCTAAATTACCGGGATCTTCTCTCAAATAAAGTGTACTTATTGTTAATGACAATTATTCCTTACTTTGGCTTTTGACATTGTGTTTAACTTAATACTAAAGTTTATTGCTGTTTATAAATAAGAGTTGCGTAGAAATTTTTAGATTATACTGTAGTAATAAAAAATGACGGCTCTGATTAATAATTTTAATCAGTTTATCCTAAAATCGAAACTGGATTTAAGTAACGGTAACTACAGTTAAGCTTGATATGCCTTCCCTGAAATTATTTTGTAGAGATAATCTTACCATCTTATTATCATAGTTGCTTTTCTTTTCTTGAGATAGAAGCCCACTAGCCGCAGCAATTGAGTTATTTTTGCTTCGATAGTAATAGTAGCATGGAAACAGTAATTGTCGAATTTTTCTATTGTAAATACAGTAAATGACTGGATTGTAGATCGTCGATATAGGCATTGATATTCTACCTAGTATTGCAATCGCTCTCTGTCCTAAATTACTATGATCATTAAAAAACTGAGATGAAAATTTACCAGTGACAGCCTCCAAAAGCAACATTAAGGTCCAAGGTAAAGCACATAACAAAAATGTTACTGTCGTAGCAAGTAACATAGAAGTAGTCTTACGCTTTAGATTTCTACTATTAGCAGATTCGCGTGTAATCGATGTTGTCTTTATCCGAAGTTTACGAAATATTAGAATATAAGCAGTAATCATAACGATCATCGGAATTACAAACTGAAATATAATTAAGATCACATTGACAATAATAGCCCAACGCGATTGAGATGGAAATTGAGCACATTGATTTTGGACTGATGTAGCTGAGAAGAGGAATGGTAGTGAAATTAAGAACGAGACAAGCCATGCTAAGACGCAAAGTAATTTAGCCTTTTTAGGCGTTACTTTTTTTGTGGGTCGATAAATAGCGCGATAACGCTCGATACTGATAATAACCAGTGTTTGTACAGAAGCTGTATAGGACCAATAAGTTGGGAAAACGATCAAGAATTTACAAATCATATTGAAAGTGTGATATGGAATCGGACTTCTACTTGCCGTAAACGTAGTACTTAGTGAAGTTATTACTGATAGAGCAAGTAGTAAATCACAGCATGCTAGATTACGTATAAAATAATACGTTTTTTTACGTAACGATTTTTTCAATTGAGTACCTACCACAATAACAGTGTTGGGGATGATACTAAAACCAACTAATATCAAGATCACCGGTCCAGCTCTTAAAACCATAGCCGTATCTAGAGTAGGATTTGCAGAGTTGGTAATATTACTACCATCTTCTTTAGAAACATTTAAGCTCTCCATCTTTGCTTACCAAATTAGATAGAAGATGGAATTATAGAAGCAACATCAAGTAAAAAGCTAACTATTTATTTACGTCATAAGATTAAATATAAACGTTATGACCAATTACGTACTTGTGACGACCAGGGCCTTTCATGTTATCGGAATAATGATTTCGTTTAGATTGAAGAAAGTTAATAATTATTTCTCTTTTCACAATCCGGTGATGAATTATTGTAATCTATTGTGATCAAAGTATGATTGATCACAAGTTAATAATTTTTTGATAATAGCTGAAAACAATAATTGACCTTATGAAACCAGGTTATCATCTTAAAGTCGACATTAACTGCGGGTTATGACTGTCAGAAGATTCGCTTGACAAGATTCAATAAAATAAGTATGGCGCCGAAGGCTCCTATTTATTAACACCGTATTGAACATAAATTTGACCTATTTTAGCGGTTAAGACTAACTCAAAAGAAATCGTTAGTCATCTTATCGGCTCAAGAATAGTAAGAATACTGATTTTAAAATTGTCAGGGCTGATATA